CATTCTCCTCGTTCCTACGGTGGAGGATTCTCCAGAGCTCAAATATGGAGCCCTTCATTTTGTGCCCTCAACAGCACAGCCGCCTCCTCTGGAGAGTCGGCTTCGCTGCGGGGCAAGTAGGTAATGCCCAGCGTAGGCTTAGGCAGTTCGCCCCCGGGTATTACCGAGAGTTCTGCCTCCGTCCAGGGCTTAGTTTTCCGATTTCACCCACAATCCAGTCCTGGCTTGCCTTATTCAGGCACGTTACCAGAATCCAACCTGGCTTGTGTGTGAAACCGGGAACATTTTGGGCCCATTCCCGGTTGCGACCCACAGGCCGTCTTAGCGATGGCCTTTGCTCGGTGGACCAGCCACATCTGCTCCACTTTCATAGGATTCGAATTGCGAATTCCTATACGCGCGGAGCCAGCTACGTCACTGAAGCGAAGCTTCTTCTCCTCCGTTGCCAGCTTCACAGTCTTCCTGGGCTGGTCTTAGGGGGACTCTTCCTCAGACCGACTGCGTTTTTTCGCCTTCGAAACTGGGGGAGGCTTGAGCAGAGGAATTTGGCCCAAGGCTTCTGGCAGAGAAAGAGGGCCTCTTCGGCTCCAATCTCAGCTGCTATCAGCCTTCGGTACCTTTTCCTCGCAACCCCACTAAGCTTATAAGGCCTAGCTAACTTTTTCTTTGCCCCTCCCTGGTTCGTTTCCGATTGTGGTTCGGCTGCAAACGTGCCCTCCACTTCATGGCTGGTCCCAGGTTGGGGCGCACTGTTGCAGGGTATTGGTGAGGCTAAAAGAGCCTCTTCCAAACCTGCAGCTAATTCAATTAAAGGAGACTTCTCACTGTCTTTAACAAAATGTCGGTTTTTATCCATTTTGTTCCCACGAGTAGCTAGGGAAATACTTAGTCACCCCCGGCAGAGCCCCTACTACCCGAATCACCCTGGTCTCGGGTGGGCACCGTTTGCGACTGGACTCCCTCCAGCCACGCATACATCGGCACGGTACGCTTGACACCTTAGATTGGGTTGGGATAGGAAAAGGGGGAGGGATAAGAAAAGAAAAAGAGGATCGTCCGAGTGTTTCTGTTCTGTATGTTTCCTATTGAACCAGACCAAATAAGAGGCCGCAACCACGTGAAGGAGAACTTCTCAGACTTGCCCTGGGGATCAACACGACCTGCGCTCTCCCCCAGAGCCATACGCCAAACTGCTCGCCGGACAGGAGACCAGAATAGGTGTTAATCTAGTCTTATTTATAATATCAAAAGTTAGGAGTAGACTAACCCCCGCCCAAGAGCAAGTCTTACCCGACACTATTCCGATGATATCCCGGACGTCAGTCTGAGCGAGATTAGAATGGCTCCAGCACCTTAAAAACGGCAGGGCCCCAGGCGAGGATGGAATCACAGCGGAGCTTCTGAAAGCGGGTGGAACACCGGTACTTGAAGTCCTTCAGAAGCTCTTCAATTCCGTCCTTGGCAATACTCCGGAGGCGTGGAGCAGAAGTGCGGTGGTCTTGTTTTTTAAGAAAGGCGACAACGCTCTCTTGAAGAACTACAGACCTATTTCCTTTCTGAGCCGCGTCTACGTGCTGTTTTCGAGAGCCATTACAAATCGTCTCGCAAGCAGACTCGACGACTTCCAGCCTCCCGAACAAGCCGGTTTCCGAAAAGGCTTCAGTACCATAGACCACATACATACCCTGCGGCAGATTGTACAGAAGACCGAAGAGTACAATCTGCCACTTTGCCTGGCGTATGTAGACTATGAGAAAGCCTTTGATTCCATAGAAATTTGGGCGGTGCTACAGTCCCTTCAGCGGTGCCAAGTTGACTGTCGGTATATCGAAGTGCTGAAGTATTTGTACAGTAGGGCTACGATAGCTATCCGAGTACAGAACCAGATTTCGAAACCTATCCAACTGCAGAGAGGTGTAAGACAGGGTGACGTTATATCCCCGAAACTCTTCACCGCTGCGTTGGAAGACGTTTTCAAGCTTCTGGACTGGAAAGGATACGGTATTACCATCAATGGCGAGTACATCACTCACCATCGATTTGCCGACGATATAGTCCTTATGGCAGAATCGCTGGAGGACCTTAGCACTATGCTCAATGACCTCAATAGTGCCTCCCAACGGATAGGTCTTAAGATGAACATGGACAAAACAAAATTCATGTTTAATGTCCATGTCACACCTATGCCGGTAGTTGTTGGGAACACTATACTCGAAGTTGTTGACGAGTACGTTTACCTGGGACAAATAGTCCGACTAGGTAAGTCCAACTTCGACCGAGAGGTGAATCGACGGATTCAACACGACTGGGCAGCGTTCGGGAAATTACGACACATCTTCTCGTCAGGTATACCTCAATCTCTGAAAACTAAAGTGTACAACCAGTGCGTGTTGCCAGTGATGACTTACGGATCAGAGACGTGGTCCTTCACTGCTGGCCGTAAGAGGACGCTCAAGGTCGCTCAGCGAGCTATGGAGAGGGCTATGCTCTGAGTTTCTCTGCGTGATAGACTCAGAAATGAGGATATCCGCAGCAAAACCAGAGTGACCAACATAGCCCAACGGATTAGTAAGCTGAAGTGGCAATGGGCCGGCCATATAGCTCGAAGAATCGATAACCGATTGGGAAGAAAGGTTCTCGAGTGGCAGGGTGCAGGTAGCTCAGGACCGTGCTTTGTGGCGTTGCTTGGGGGAGGCCTATGTTCAGCAGTGGACTTGTCAAGGGCTGTAATGATATATATATATATATATATATATATATATATATATATATATATATATATATATATATATATATCATATATGTATATGTTACAAATAGTTTGCTATCACTCGTCGCCATATTATGGCGTTTGACAGATGCGCATATTATTTGAGACGCCAGAACATGGCGTTTGGACAGACGAGGGGATAAGGTACTGTTGACTAAAGTTTATTGTAAAAACCTCCTGATTTGTGGATAAAATCAATAAATCATACTCAATAAAACAGAAAGATCTCTTGTAATTGATATAATTTTGTTATAATTAACGCAAATCATGTTTATGTACATAGAGAGTATGTTTTTATCGTATAAAGATCGTAGGTCCGTGTTGCTCAAAGGGGGATAGTTTCGATATATTACAATAACTTATGCTCTCTTAGAAACGAATAATAAGCAAAAAGAAGCATAAAAACAAATGGTGGGGTAGGAAAACGCAATAACGAAAATCGTCGTCAGGGGAATCACTCTTTATGTACAGCTGAGCGTGGAATTTTATCACAATGACTCGCTTTGTTACTTTGTTTAGCCAATTTTCAGAATAAAAAGTAGAAAGTACATCACCGATATTGTTAAATAAACAATTCTCAAACGTTATCAACATAATACAATTTGCTGGATGGTTAAGCTGCAAGTCCTTCTAGGTAGTTACCATAACCATACCCATTTTTGTTGCCAAATAATAATGTCCTCCAGACCGAATGTCGGTCGCGGGGGCCTGCATCAACAGAGACTAGCCATCTGCGCAGGACAGGATAATAGTGTTGGGCGTATGCGTAACACAAGTGCACTCTCTATTCCCTCACTCTCATAATTCGATGGTATGGTAAAGCGACACGACCGGAGAGAGATCAGGCGCAGGATCAACTCCTTTACGTGCTTTCCGAGGCATTGGAGTGATACACCGCCAACTTCCTGACTTCGGGCAGCTACTGAGAATTTCTTGACAGAAAAACTTAATAATTGATTTTTGGACCGACCCGGGATTCGAACCTAGGACCTCATGATCAGCAGTCGCACTACTACTACCACTAGACCATTTTTTTTTTGCATGGGGAAATGCCTACGCATACCCGCCTCGCGGGGGGCAAGAACGGGTTATGTCGGACTCGCACCGACTAAAACCCCATGGTGTTCCACCTTTGTCGCATATTGGCAGAGCTACGGGAACGCTTTTGCACACATCCGCGGCCCTACTAGCGCCTGCCGCCCCATGGCAGCACCTCCTCGGGAGAGGAAAATTCCTCCCCGTTCTCCTTCCCAGGTAAGGCGCACAAGAACACATGGCGCGCCTTCCTCCACGGCCTCCAACTTAGTCTGTGCAACAGACGCCCCCGCATCCGATGCACAAAGGCCGTGGGGCCAGGAAAAACGAGCACTTAGAAGTACTATCCTTCCCGACCCCAGCGGCGGATCTGGTCTATGGCTCCGCCGCCAACCAAGATTCGGCTGCGGAGGGTAGGGAGAGCGGCGCCTCGCAATACCCGACAATCCTCTCCTCCCGCAGACCCACCACCACCACATCAACGGTGCGACCCCGTTTGAGTCGCGAAGGATAGGGCGAGTGGCGCATCGCCATACCAACACTCCTCTTCCTCCGCGACTCCACCTCGGCTGCAGCGGTAGAGGGTGCGCGAGTCCCCACTCGCTGCAGTCCACCAGCACACATCCGAAGTGGGCTCCCCAAGCCCACTCGGAGCGGCCAACTCAGGCCGGCCCTTCACTTCGGGCCAGCCACGTGGGTTCCTCTTTGTTCACCGTGGGAGACCAAGCCACGGCTACTAAGCCCCCCGCCACGACAAGGCGGGAACCCGTTCGGGGGGGATACAACCACTAGACCAACGAGGTCGACTCGTACACGTCGCCGGCGATGTCGCCAAATAGCAGTTCTTGCACCGCTGTGTCCTGTCTGATGGGTGTGGAGAATCAATATAATCACAATCTGTGAGGCATTCCGTCTTAGTCCTCACAGATGACAACACATTTCTAACCTTCTTTGATTGAAGTTGGCTGCAGATATCTACAGACTGCAGTAGCCACTTACCATCAAGTAGACTGTAAGGTTGTTGTAATTTTGTTTTTAATTTAAAAAAACATTTATTTCATACAATCGTTGTTGTCAAACCATATTTTTAATAGCAAATGAAGAGATGAACAAGATGTTTTTTAATTTCAGGCCTGCTCATAAATAATAATAATAATAAGGGGAAGAAACTGCGGGGATAGCGTATCGGGCTCGGATGCATTGCTTTTTTGCTGAGCTGGAGCCGTCTATTCCCGTCACGGAACAAAACCTGGCAGACCGAGTTCGGTACATCATGCGCTCGAAAATATTCGATGATGCCGAGCTCGAACGACTACGAAGTGAGGCCATTCCCTCATCGAATGAATTGGCTACGGCTGGGGATGAGGCTCCTCAGGCGACAGACCAGCTGCCACGCGTAGAAGCCGCCATGGATCTTCCAGTTGTGGTTGATTCAGACGATGATGAAATGGTCTCCCACGAACTAGAGCAAATGAGGAGTATATTGGAAGAAGCGATTTTGGAAACGCGCAGCATGCCTCTCGAAAATCGACCGCGACTTCCCCGCATACCCCTAAGCAAGCGAAATCGGGCTGTAATGAGGGCTCTTAACCCAATGCTGGTAACCTATTTGGAAGCCAGCCGGGACCTTTGCAAGACAGACTCAGTTCTTTTTGGCGCCGCAGTGGCAGCTTGCCGTATTATTGGCGCCATACTTCCCATGGCTGGACGCGCTACTAAACAAAGTAGCGCCATCCCAGCCTGGAGAAAAAGAATTGAGGACCGTATCGCAAAGGCAAGGGCCCTTATCGGCAGACTGATGAGCTTCAGGTCGGGTAATAATAGACCGAGGGTTGTGCGCACCGCTAGAATGGCGTTTGCTGGGACAAATATCAGTTTGTCCCAGCCGGATATCACGCAGAAACTAACGGAGCGCATAGACGACTGGAAGCAAAAGATTGCTGCTTGGGGGAAGCGGATTCGCCGATTTACCGAGAGGTCAAGGCGGTTCAACCAGAATCGTCTCTTCCAGAGTGATCAGAAGAGGCTCTACAAATCATTGGAGCGACCAGAGGTATGTGGAGCGGGCCCAGGACCGGACCAGGCTAACACTGTCGCATTTTGGCGTGGCCTGTGGTCAGAGCCCGTAAACCACAGTGAGGGCCCTTGGACGGAAGTTGTGGTGAATCAGTGTGCGAGTATTACGCCCATGGACCCCGTCATCATAACGCTGGATGACGTAGCTGAGGCGGTCCGTAGAGCCCCGAACTGGAAAAGTCCGGGACTCGACGGACTGCATCACTACTGGCTGAAGGGGTTCATAATGTGGCACGCTGTGCTCGCCCGTCAGTTTCAAGAGGCTCTCAACCAGAAGTCGCTCCCTAGCCTCTTCACTACTGGGATCACTCATTTGGTTCCTAAAGACCAGGTTACCACAGACCCGAGCAAATACCGCCTCATTACGTGTCTACCCACCATATATAAGACACTGACATTCATTTTGAGCGCGAGAATCACTCGTCACCTGGAGCTAAATCAGATAATGTCACGCGCTCAAAATGGATGTCGGGGCGGTGGTCGTGGAACTAAGGAACCACTCCTCATTGTCGCGGTCATTGGCAAAGTGGTGAAACGCAACCGTCGGAACTTCTCCGCCGCCTGGATAGACTACAGAAAGGCATTCGACTCGGTGCCCCATACATGGCTAAAGAGAGTCCTCGAGCTGTACAAGATAGACTGTACAGTGAGAGACTTCCTCGAGCAGTGTATGGGGCAGTGGAGTACGATCCTTTGTCATCTGGGTGAGCGGATGATGGCTGCGGAGAACCACATAAGGATAAGAAGGGGTATCTTCCAGGGCGATTGTCTGAGTCCAATCTGGTTCTGCCTTCTCCCTGAACCCTCTCAGTACCTTACTGGAGGGATCCGGGAGAGGATTTCAGCTACGGAAAGGAGGGACAAAAGTGACCCACCTTTTCTATATGGATGACCTTAAGTTATTCGCCTCCAGTCGCTCCCATCTTGTGGAATTGCTAAAATCACTTGTGAGTTTAGCAGTTCCATTGGAATGGAGCTGGGGACGGATAAGTGTGCGGTCCTCCATGTTGAGAGGGGAAGGGTTGCTAACTCTGAGGGCATAGATTTATCTATGCCCGTCAACTTAAGGACCCTTTCCGAGGCTGAAACATACCGATACCTGGGTATGTCACAGAACATCGGTATCGATGAGGCTGGTATGAAACAGTCAGTTTGCGACGTGTTTTATACACGCTTGACCAAAGTGCTTAATAGCCTTTTGTCCGGTGTGAATAAGACACACGCATATAACAGTTGGGTCATACCTGTCCTTATGTATACCTTTGGCATACTCAGGTGGACTCAGACTGAACTTAACGCTCTGGATAGAGAAGTCCGCACTACAATGACGTCCCATAGGATGCATCATCCGAGATCGTCGGTAATGAGGCTGTACTTGCCGCGAAAGCATGGTGGGCGTGGCTTTCTGAGCGCGCTCACTATGCATAATCGTGAACTGTGCAGCCTCCGTCATTACTTCCTGGCGAGATCGGATGATTCATTCTATAATGACGTCATTTCTAGTGATAAAGGACTTACCCCTCTATCCTTGGCCAACGAGCAATGGCAGGACCCAGGAGTGCTTAGCATTTCCGACCGGGAGACCGTATGGAAGGAGAAGGAGCTCCACGGGAGGTACTACAGGGCTCAACATGAGCCCTTCGTAGATACAGTCGCCTCCCTCAACTGGCTACGTTTCGGTGACCTCTTCGGGGAAACCGAGGGTTTTGTCTGTGCAATACAGGATCAGGTTATTAAGACCAACAACTATCGGAGATACATCCTAAAGGATGGCACCGTCGACGTCTGTCGAGCTTGTCGCCATCCCGGGGAGTCACTTAGGCATGTCATCTCCGGTTGTTCGGCGCTTTCTAACTCTGAGTACTTGCACAGGCACAACCTAGTATCCAGAATTCTACACCAGGAGCTCGCTCTGAAATACGGTCTCGTGGACCGGAAATTGCCGTATCACAAGTACTTGCCGGAAGCCGTGCTCGAAAATGACCGCGCCAGGCTCTACTGGGACCGGGCCATCATCAGACAGGACTATTCTTGCAAATAAGCCTGATATTGTGCTGATGGACCGGGCACAGTCAAGGATATTTTTTGGTCGACATTACCATTCCGTATGACGAGAACCTCGTGAAAGCCGAAACAGATAAGCGAACAAAATATCTGGACCTGGCTCACGAGGTGACCGACATGTGGGGTGGTTGGCCGACCGAAATTATTCCTGTAGTCGTCTCTGCGAAAGGGCTAATCCCAGTCAGCCTCTCGGGTCATCTGAGGCGACTGGGACTCCGTGACGGACCGCTCCGGGCTCAAATGCAGAAGGCAGTGGTCCTCGATACCGCCCGCATCGTCCGTCGGTTTCTTTCCCTTTCCCCCTAACCCTCGGCCGTTTGGTCTCCCCTGCCGAGGGCTTCCATCTGGTTGGATCTTTATTTATTTGTGTATTTTTTGTATTTATTTTATTTTATTGATATTTATTTATATTTATCTTTTCATTTTAATTTATAATTATATATTTATAGAAACCAACCAGATGAGAAAACTATACAGATACACAGATAATAATAATAATAATTAAAGTGTTTTTTTTATTAAGTGCGAGCAGCTATGCAGGTCTAGGGAAAGAGACCAGTATCACCGCGATCTAGAAGATCTATTGTGATCGCTGCTATGGCTATAGTTCACGGCTAAGCCTTATGTCTTCAATGAATAGAAGGAGTTGCTTAGCCGTGAGCAATTTCACTTCTTCTGGGCGGAGTACATAGTTTCCCAGATGACTGTTACGTTTACGCATTAAGGGTCCGCAATCAGTTAGGATGTGTAGAGGCGTTTCTTCATGGAACAGAACCGACAAATCCTTAGTTATAATAAATAATTTATTACTTTGCAACCTTCCGCTTACTAATTACAATGATGTGTCTTACCTGGATTGAAGAGCACCTTCCGCCCTCCCTCAATTGCATGCACTAACTCCGTTACCACTAGTCCCAGCACCACTACTCCCAACACCACTACTCCCGGCACCACTACTTCCAACACCACTATTACCACCATACGACAATACGACACGTGTTTCACATCTACACGAGGCATCCTCAGGTAATGTAGACTCTACGGCGAGTACTAGATTAAGGATCAGGAACAAAAATAAGTCGCTCAAGTGGGCACGTTTACACAAACGTAAACATCTATATTTCTTACTATGAAATATAGGAGAAAGATTAAAAATATTAACAACTTCAGTTTATTATAAACCTTATCACTCAAACATGAAGTTTTTAATACCATTACAAAATATTTTCTAGTTATAATATCCGACAAAGATACCGCTTGAATATAAAAAGTCATAAGTACACAAATATTTATCCTAAAATTAAACTTAAAGTCTAAGTAATAAGGTTAAAAATATTATGTTAAAAATTTCGTGCTTACTCTATTTTATTCTTGGTATTACATTTCAATGTTCATTAAAATGGCTATGGTTGGACCATACTAATTTGAAATAAGACCACAAAAGTATTTGTGGTCTTATTTTTCGGGCCGTTTTTGAAGCGCTTATCGGGAATCTAGTAGTATTATTGATCGAAGCTGCTCGTTTTTGCTAACCACAAGACATTCCATCCAGTAAATTTTAACTATTCAAACGAACTAGTTCCCTCGCTACACGATGCACCTCTGTAAGGAAATGAAGGCAAACAAATTTGACAAGTGTCGTGTAAGATGCAATGTGCTAGATTTTCTAATGGTTGTAACAACTGCTTTCAATAGCAGACATTTGCTACTATTTTTTAGTCTCATAGTTGCAGTACTTGCAGAAGAAAGTTTTAACATTTTTAGTTTTTGAAATTTTTAAAAGATAACTTTTACTTGATTTGTAAATGAGTATTACATAAAAACAAATAAAAAGCAAAACTAAAGGACACGAATTATTAATAGCAAAACTCCTTTTCTGTCAAATCTTTTTTTGGTTTAAAGTGTTATCGATGGTATATACGACCTTCAAATCGTTTTCGCTGTCAAACAACGGTGTTCGTACTGCTGAAATCGACATGGCGGAATCACAACTTATGAATGAAAATCTTCTAACTATTATTAAATAGAAATCGTTTCTTCTTCTTCTTTTCACCAACCCATAAAAGTTTACTGCTAGACATGGACCTCTCCGGTTGGGAAGGAGCTATGTAATTGTCATTCTACCGTTGGGAAGTACCATTTGCCTTAATCGCTACGATCCCGGACGTCTTGCACTGTGTTCTCTTTTGTCACCATTCTTTTTATCTTCAAAATCCTTGGGTAAAACTAGCACTTATTTATTACTTTGCAACCTTCCGCTTACTAATTACAATGATGTGTCTTACCTGGATTGAAGAGCACCTTCCGCCCTCCCTCAATTGCATGCACTAACTCCGTTACCACTAGTCCCAGCACCACTACTCCCAACACCACTACTCCCGGCACCACTACTTCCAACACCACTATTGTAAACACAATCACGACAATACGACACGTGTTTCACCTCTACACGAGGCATCCTCAGGTAATGTAGACTCTACGGCGAGTACTAGATTAAGGATCAGGAACAAAAATAAGTCGCTCAAGTGGGCACGTTTACACAAACGTAAACATCTATATTTCTTACTATGAAATATAGGAGAAAGATTAAAAATATTAACAACTTCAGTTTATTATAAACCTTATCACTCAAACATGAAGTTTATAATACCATTACAAAATATTTTCTTAGTTATAATATCCGACAAAGATACCGCTTGAATATAAAAAGTCATAAGTACACAAATATTTATCCTAAAATTAAACTTAAAGTCTAAGTAATAAGGTTAAAAATATTATGTTAACAATTTCGTGCTTACTCTATTTTATTCTTGGTATTACATTTCAATGTTCATTAAAATGGCTATGGTTGGACCATACTAATTTGAAATAAGACCACAAAAGCATTTATGGTCTTATTTTTCGGGCCGTTTTTGAAGCGCTTATCGGGAATCTAGTAGTATTATTGATCGAAGCTGCTCGTTTTTGCTAACCACAAGACATTCCATCCAGTAAATTTTAACTATTCAAACGAACTAGTTCCCTCGCTACACGATGCACCTCTGTAAGGAAATGAAGGCAAACAAATTTGACAAGTGTGGTGTAAGATGCAGTGTGCTAGATTTTCTAATGGTTGTAACAACTGCTTTCAATAGCAGACATTTGCTACTATTTTTTAGTCTCATAGTTGCAGTACTTGCAGAAGAAAGTTTTAACATTTTTAGTTTTTGAAATTTTTAAAAGATAACTTTTACTTGATTTGTAAATGAGTATTACATAAAAACAAATAAAAAGCAAAACTAAAGGACACGAATTATTAATAGCAAAACTCCTTTTCTGTCAAATCTTTTTTGGTTTAAAGTGTTATCGATGGTATATACGACCTTCAAATCGTTTTCGCTGTCAAACAACGGTGTTCGTACTGCTGAAATCGACATGGCGGAATCACAACTTATGAATGAAAATCTTCTAACTATTATTAAATAGAAATCGTTTCTTCTTCTTCTTTTCACCAACCCATAAAAGTTTACTGCTAGACATGGACCTCTCCGGTTGGGAAGGAGCTATGTAATGGTCATTCTACCGTTGGGAAGTACCATTTGCCTTAATCGCTACGATCCCGGACGTCTTGCACTGTGTTCTCTTTTGTCACCATTCTTTTTATCTTCAAAATCCTTGGGTAACACCTAGCACTTAAGCAGTGAACTTGTGAGGGGCTGTGATAATAATGATAACGATGATCCTTGAACTCATGAGAGTGCCAATATTTTAATTATATATTGACATTAAATACCACTTAATACTGATTGGTACTTTGCCCTGTAGTGCAGCATAGAAAATTTCATTTCATCACTGCATTTCGTCCCGTGGTATCGCAATAGGCAACTACGGGATATGTCAAAAATCTTATGGCTTATGTCTATAACCTAGGTAGATCAGAAGATCACCAGCTGATCGACCCCGACGAAAACCGTATTGGCGGTCACTAATTAAAGCGGTATAATTATCTCATTTAGGCCAGGCGTAAAATACACATACCGGCAAAGGGAAACTGCGTCAAAGATGCAGAATATTGGTATTACAATAGTAAAGCCGCCTGCTAAATGTGACGATTAAGGCAAATACAACAACGGAAGAAACACATCTCCAATAGTGGACATTTCCGAGCTTAAAAAAAAGAGAAACTAAATACTGGTAAGATATTTTTGTTAAGTTGAGATTTCGCTAGCTTGACATTCATGTATTCGGCTTGATTAATAACTTTTCACCACAAGATCCATTGGAGCCTTGTTCATCAGATCAGGATGCACTGTGCGCAGTTCAGATTGGCTATGGGAGAGAGGTATATATTTTTTATAGAAGAGGGGGCAAAAAAAATTGCGACTCACCTTATGGTAAGTGACTACCGTCGCCCATGAACATCTGCAACACCATGCAAATTGAAGGTGCATTAGTGTAGTATAGTAGTGTTAGTGTAGTATCTTTTCTTATTTTATTTTCGCTACCAAAAATGCAGATAACTAATATTTTTTATCGTCTTAAATGCTCAAATAAAATAATAAGAAAACGCTTCAGGCGTTTGTACCTAAAACGGATAGATCCGCATATTATGCGCTCTATGGGTACGTAACGAGATAGGACCATTTCATCTAAATAGTTCACGGTTGCTCTGCTAAATGTGTCTCACGCTGATTGGGCGGAACCACGTCGCTCGTATTCGATAAATTGCGATCGCTTTGTCTTATTGCAGGCAATATAGTCGTCGTTAGAAATACGTTATATTGGAAGTATACATTGATTCTCTTATATCATGTCCTTGTGCTATACCGACGAATCTTATGCCTGTAACAATAAAATGTTTTTAAAATGTAGTACTTTGTAATATAATAAAGTACAGTAATAAAAGAAAATCTGGAAGAAATACATAAGTTAATCTAATAATAAAAGTAATTAATTGTGGACCGTAACCAATATTTCGTTAGTTAAGATTAGTAACAATTATTACCTTAAAAATGATTTCAGAAATATTGTTGTTTTCCAACAATTACATGTAATCGGATATCACCTGTAACTACCCTCATTCCATGATTCTGGATGGGGCAGTCAATCTTGCTGATATAAATATATATAATATGCAGATATAAATATATATAGATGGAGTAAAAATAACTTTCAATAAGAATTACAACATGTAATCTATACTGAATAAAAATTATTCTATTCTATTCTATAACTTTCAAGTTACATTTGTCGCTGTTCTGCAGGCGCTGCAGTAGGGATGCTACTTTCCTCCGAATCACAGATAAGATTGAGTTATCCACGTGAGCCTTCGTGGATCCTCGACAAACACTGCAGCGTCTCGCTAGCCCTAATAGCATTCTGAAAGTGTTGCTGTACACGTAAAACGTTACACAGGCCAGTCGAGTAAAACTATATAGATAATATGCAGAATGTCTTAAAAAGTAAGATCTCTACTTTGCATGTGCATCAAGCATACCTGGGAAAAAACATGTTGTCCCAACTAAATTTATAACAAATAATAAAACCAGTAGAAGGATAGCAATAGCAAGCTAAATATATTCGTATGTTTATACGTAGTAGAGCGACGTTAACGTTGTAGCGAATTATGGCAGCACATTAAACGGCAGTACCGTTTTCACACTCGCTTAGAACGTCATCATTAAATTAAACTTTTAATAAAAAGTGAAAGTGGATTTTTTGAACTAAAAGGAATAAAATAATTTCCACATAATAGCTTCTGTAAATTTTACTTTACTTCTTCTGTAGGAAAATAAACATAGGAAAAATTCAAGCCGCGACTTCACAAGCTATTGTGGTCTAAAAACCAGTGAGCGGTATTTCATTTAGCTTCCCGTTTTTTTTACATTTAGTCCCCTATACTATTTAAAAAGGATCATTTCTAAATTGTCCACCCGTCGACCGTGTAGTGTCAAAAATATCCACTACCTATACCGTCCGGTGGGTGTCGTAAAACGCTGTAGAGAGAAAGCAAGGGGGCAGTAGTATCTTCCTATTAACAATTAGATAACAAAAAAACTGCCTTTGCCAATTCTTCAGCCCGAAAACTATGTCAATATAGTATTATATATTAGTTTTGAAGCCGGTTTGTGGTTTTTATTATAAGATTAAATATGTTACTCTCTTAAGTGGTCTGAGGAACATCACAAGTTCAAAGTAACAACTAGAATGTTGTTTTATTTTGTTGATTTGTTGTTACATTAAGATCTTCATCCCTTAAATTTTCACCATAGCATGGCATTACCCATTAATAAATAAGATGCATTAAAATCTATTCAGTCGTCGCATATGAACCTTTGGAACCTTTGGAGAATGGGATTTTTGGGCCGGAAATTAACTAACTTATTTATACTTAAATTGGCTATATTTTCTAAAGTAAAACACAAAAAACTAACTCTTTTAACAATCTATTATTAGCCAAATTAAAATAAAGAATATTAGAAAATCGATTCTATTAATACTATCGATTTGATATTTATTCGGATCCAAAAAAATAAAAGAATTATATATTCATTTGGATAAAATAAAATATATTATTGGTGTAAGGAAAAAAAGAATACACTGCGAATTTCTCGTTTCCGAACGCTATCTACCAACAAAAGATTTCTCATTTTGAAACTTGACAGTTCTAACTTCAAAACTTAAAAGAACCACTTAAAAGAAAAAGACCGAACTTCGAATCTATTTGAAACTAGCGTACATCGTAGGTAATATACAACTTCGGGTTTACTTATTCTACAATAACTCGGCTCCTAGATCAACAAATCTTGTCATATTTTGGGCTATGAATTGTTTATATATAAACTTTCAAATAGTCCTACTTTCATGTTGTTAACATCTGGGCCCAAGAATATACGAAGACGTCTCCTTCTCCTTCACGAACTTTAAATCATTTGATTTTAACTTTTTTAATCCCGACGTTTCGAGTACTTTACAGCACCCATGGTCACAGGAGGCACCCGAAACAAAGTAACACAAAAAGTATTAAGAAGTTAAAATTAAACACGAATAAAAAAAGATACACGTAGCTTCTAGAAACTTCTCGTTTTAAGGTACTCGGAACTATAATTAGTCGTATTGAGTTCAAACAAGAAACTAGAAAAATACCAACAGGATGTCGCATGCCGTTTCAATAAAAGAATATGGTAAAACTATAACGTGACTGTCCCGTAATAAAAGTGTAATGCTAAAGATTTATTTGATTTTATTCCACGAAAGGAGGTCATGAAAGCAATTCCTTGGTTAGAATAGTTCACATTTACTGAGTAAAATGTGTGATATGTTGAACTAGACAGCTTTTACTTGAAACACGTAGTTGTAGTTTCTTTTAGCAAGCATATTTTAAGTTATGCGAACTTCGTGGTTAATCTACACTTTTACATTTGTCTTAAATACACATATTTTAAACAAATTTACGTTAAAAAAATAACAAAATAGATTATTTCGTAACAATTACAAAATGTAAACGATACTAAAGACGAAATTATTTTGTTTTAAAAGTTTTTGTTTGGATGATAAACCAATTCTCCTTTTCATTCCAACACCAATACAGCCTCTAGCGAGCAACAAAACCATAGCGACCCTTGCCACGCTAGGCGTGGACTTCTGCAACATTAGGGGACTTCAATCGAACCTTAACGCTGTCCAATACCATCTGGAGACGGCGAAGTCGGCCTTGCTCTCTCTGACTGAGATGCAGGTCCTCTCCGGCTGATACTTCGTACCTGTCCTACCCGGCAAATTAGGGCACTTCTTTGTGCCCCGGGCTGAAGTTTGCGTATACGTCAGAGAGGATGTCTGTTCTCGACGCTTCGACAGTCATGAAAGTATGGACCAGTCCATCCTTTGGCTGTGCGTAGACTGCGACGACCATCCGTGCGTCTATGGGTGCGTCTGTAGGTCCCATACCAATTCCAAATGGCTACAGATTCCTTGCTACAATAAATCCCATTTTTGTTTATAGAAGAGGAGGTAAACTAGCAAACGATTCACCTAAAGTTAGATGACTACCGCTACCCGTGAACAACTGCAACATCAGGGAAATTGCAGGTGCGTTGCCGACCTTTTAGAAAGGAGTAAGCTCTTTTCTTTAAGGTCTCTAAGTCGTATCGGTCCAGGAAAATCACAGGTGGTAAACTACTCCACAGAGAGATCATACGTGGTAGAAAGCTCCTAGTAGAACGTACAGTGGTGGACCGCCAAGTATTCAGATGGTGTGGACGGTATCAGGAGGTTTGCCGCGTAGTTTGTTCATGAAATTTGGCGGCTGGGATTAATCCGAACAATTCCTCAGAGCACTTCCTGTCGTAGATACGATAGAAAATGCAAAGGGATGCCAATTGTTGGTTGCCACCGTGTTCGGTATTACAGGTCGGTGAGTTGGATTGGAATTCGGTCTTCATTTGGATCTTTATTTGCAATGGGGTTCACTTCTCGCTGGTTCACAGGGAATAGAACTATTTATTCCATCATCCGGTGGTACCCATCAGAAGCAGATCTCAACCTTGGTTTCATCGCTCTGACTGACCGCATTACGCACTAACCGAGAGAGTTATCAGGCCTGGGCTGATGCTTCGGCGGCTTTTTCGGGATTTAAGCACCAGCAAATTTAAAAATAAGTATAACTTCGTCTCTAGGTCCTTCAAAAGAGTTGTTGCCAAGGAAAAGTACGAGCACATGAAATTGCAGCTAAATTGACCAGAAATTAGTTCCCTTTCCTTCGGTTCACCTGCCTTAGCAAGAGACTAGAGAGAGAGAGAATGCCCGTGCATTCTGGTCTCTCGCCAAAGCTGTTTAAGGGAATTTCTGTAAGCTATCACTATCATCTCTTCACACTGGCCCATGCCGCAAAAGAGAAAGCCGAAATTTTAGGCTCTCTTTTTGCGTCCAACTTGACTCTCGATGACGAGGGAAACACACCGTCGACTATACTGCGGTGTAAGTGCTTTATGCCTTATGTGCAATTCACACAGTGCACAGTAGGTAAGGCACTCCTCTCCCTGGACATCTAGTCGAGTGGGACTGACGGAATCCTCCCAATCGTGCTGAGGACGTGTGCTTCAGAGTTGGCACCGGTTCTGACGCGTCTTTTCCGGTACTCCTACTCTAGGCGTAGTCCCAAAATCATGGAAGACAGTTTTCATGCACCCGATCCTTAAAAAAGGTTACCGCTTTGATCCGTCCAACTACATGCCTATTGCTCATGCGATACCTTGAGTAGCACCAGCTGTTTAGTGACTGCCAGTACGTTACTACTCAGCTAGTGTAGCTTCTTGTTTATCTAACACATCGATAGGCGCAAGTGATCTAGTCCAAGGGGGAGGCTTAGGTGGTTGGTTTGGCACAAAGTGCTTCTCTTGGAGCTTCCTTCCTATGGCCTTCCCAATAAATTGTGTAATTGGATCATGACAGACGGTGCATACTTCGATTGCAAGTGGTACATCAGCGTTACTAACGCTGATGTACCACAAGACTCTGTTCTATCATCAACGCTGTTTCATCAATGATATGTTGCAAACAGGTAACATTCATTGATATGCGAACGACATTACTGGTGATGCTGTAGCAGTGGTGGAGGTAGTCACTTATCATCAGGTGAGCCGAATGCTGAAAAACCATCTACATCTACACAACACTGTTAGGCGTCTCTTTTTCATAGCCACTTATTTTTTTATTTCCTGCGTTTATGTTTCCATCTAACAAATGATTCCTAATATGACTACATTGTGTTTATTACGAAGCCTTTCAAATGTCAACAATAATTCAATAATTTCAACTGCTCAAGTACGAGTTGAAATCCGCAACGCGTCGTCATGTGCTCTTCTGAATGGATAAAAAGAGATTACTTACTGCCAACAAAGGAGATGAAATCGGTTATATCCAATTAGTTCAGAACATACTAGAAAAAACTAGACAGAAAGAATATAAAATGGAGCAGAGCACTTTTTTTTTAAAATAATTTACAAAAAATTTTAACATTTTAGGTTTCGTGTATGTGAGGTAAGAAAACTATATATGAGAATAGGAAAAAAATATTGAGTGTTAAACCT